CTGTACAAAAAATGAAAAAATAGAAAAAAAGAAAAGTAAGATGTCCAGTTAATGAGATGGGGAAGACTACAGGCTGCGGTGGGAGAAGCTCAGAAGCTCAGTTCAGTCGAGTAGAATTTGCTCAGAATTGATCATAGACCTAACTAAATGCAAGAGCTAAAGGCACAAACGTCTAGGAGAACATTATCCTGGCCTCGGGTTGAGCAAATACTCTTTAGATATGATCCCCAAAGCACAATCGTAATAGAGAAAATGTGATGAATTTGATTTCATCAAAAGTAAACACTTTTGTACTTCAAAGGACATCAGTAAGAAAGTGAAAAAACAAGACATTTACTGGGAGAAATATTTGCAAATTATAGATTTGATAAAGTACTTGTATCCAGAGTATGTAGAGAACTCATACAACTTTATGTAAGAAAAAGAATTCAGTTAATAATGAGTGAAATTTAAATAGACATTTTACTAATAAGATATACAAATGGCTAATAACCATAAAAATACTCAATATAATAATCACTAGGGAAATAAACTGGAGCTCTCGTACACTGTTGATGGGAAAGTAAAATGAGCCACTTTGTAAAACAGATTGGCAGTTTCTTATTAATTAAGTATACATTTATGCTATGTCCCAGAGGTTCTACTACTTTCTCAAGAGAAACGAAAACATACGTCTATACAAACAAATGTTGCAAATGTCCATAGCAGCGTTATTCATCGTGGTCCCAAACTGCAAATAATCCACTTGTTCACCCACAGGAGAAGGGATAAATAAGATGTGGTATAACCATAATTCAGCAATAAAAAGGAACAGAATGTGGCTACAAGCTACCACATTGATGAATCTCAGAAAACACTGTGCTAAGTGAAAGAAACCAGACTCCAAAGACTGCATATTGTTTGATTCTATTCCCACAAACATCCAGGAAAAGCATACATGCAGGGAATATAAAACAAATCGGTGTTTGTCTACGGCTGGGGGGTTGGAGTGGGGATTAACTGTAAATAGACATAAAGGAGCTTTTGGGGATGATAAAGATGGTCTACAACTGGATTGTGTTCATGGTTGCACAAGTTTATACATTTACTGAAAACTTTGACTTATATTCTTATAATGAGTGAATTTTATAGTATGCCAATTATACTTCAGTAAGGCTATTAAAAATGTGAGCTATCCTATTAGATATGCAAAACTGGATGCCGAGCAGGCCAGAGCACATTTAGTTGGAAAGACTCCCAGGCTGGAAATGAAAATTTGGGACTGGTCCATCGTACATATGATATCCATAGAATTTAAAGTCCTGAGATGACCAAGAGAGTAAGTGTTGAGGGCCCTGGCCAGTTTGGCTCAGCGGTTAGAGCGTCAGCCTGCGGTCCAGAGAGAATAAGTGTTGATGGAGAGAAGGGGGCCACGCCCTGAGCTTGAGGCGTGCCCACATTGGGGTTGGAGATGTGAGGACCAGCGAGGGGGGAGCCGGAAAACCAGGAGAGCGAGTCCAGACGCAGGGTGCAGGCGGAGGGGGGCTGGGGAGCTCAGCGAATGCTGCGGACAGTGGAGACTGAGAACTGGCTCCGGAGCTGAGCCAATGTGCACCCGCGGCGACCTCCACGAGAAGACTTCTCACGGGGCGTGGGGATGTGAGTTAGGTTACCTTTGAGATTGGAGACCAAAATGGAAAGAGGACTTTGGGGGAATTGTATTGTAAAGGACGTTTTTTGAAATTTATTTCCTTATAACTAATAACAACAACGGGCATGTTTTGTATTCTTTGTGTTCTTGTATCAGATGGTCAGTCAGGTGCACAAGAGGAGAGGCCTGGGAAGCAGGGTTCATTCCACTCCCGGTCCTGGAGCCGGCACAGGGCACCTGCACGGGGCCACAGGGGAGGCACCAGGCGGCCAGGGAGCAGAAGACAGGAGCCGGTGGGGCTTGGGCCACGGCCTTTATCGGGGTTGCCGAGGCACAGATGCGGCAGGGCCGGGAAACAGTCTAGGACCAGCCAGTCTGATAGTTGTGGGCTCCAGGCTGTGGAGCTGGTCTCGGTCCCCCCCCAGCCCTGGGAGGAGTCAGACAGAGGAACGCAGCTTCCTGGGGGCGCAGGCCAGATGGCGGAGGCTGGGCTCTGGACTGGTTAGTGTACCAGGCACGCTCCAGTCTGGGCCCTTCGTTAGCTCCGAGAGTTAGCTAGTTTCTCCCAGACCTGAAAGGTTTTGTTTTTTTCTTAAGATGTCAAACATCATACTATCCAGCGAATACAAACTACTGTAGACTAGAGCACTTCTTACGGATGCTGGTCTCTTCAGCCGTGCCAGAGTGTCTCCAGCGTAGGTGAACTTTTTCACATTCCTACCCTCCCCAATATGCTTCCTCCGACTAGAACGTTCTTCCCCTTCTCCAGCTGCTGGGCTCCCATGTAACTCCCAAGACCCAGCCCCGTTGGGCAGTCTCCCTTCTGTCTCCTACTGCACCCAGAATGTTGGTTCCTGGGTCAGTCTCTCTAGGTCTTGATGGCTTTTAAGAAGTATGCCTAAGCTTAACGACCAGTTCTCTTTCATCGCATCACATTTCATCAGGTCCTGAACTGTATTTCTTTCTTTTTTTTTTTAATCCTCACCCAAGGACATTTTTATATTTATCTTCAGATAGAATAGGAGGGATTGAGAAGGGGGGGGTAGAGAGAGAAACATCGATGTGAGAGAGACGCACCAACTGGTTGCCTCCTGCATGACTCTGACCAGGGCTGGTCGAACCACAACCCAGGCACATGCCCTTGATTGGAATCGAACCCGAGACTCATTGGTGCGCAGGCTAATGCTCAACCGCTGGGCCAAACCAGCCAGGGCCCAAGCTTTGCTTTCAATGTGTACTGAGAAATCGGCTCTGAAATGATGCTTTAATCAGAGAAACTAACACGAATGAGCGGAACACAGATGTCAGGAGTGAAGGAATTCATGTTCCTAAGAAACGACTTGACATTTGAGTGACTCCCTGAAGAGGGAGTCCGGGTTGGTGTCAGGGGGAATGTGTGCTTCGTTCCGGGTGTGTGTGGCTTGGAACACCTGTTCGGGGGGACGCTTTCTCTGACTAGGTGTGTGTTTGAACAGCAACTCAGAAGCCAAAGCTTTCGCTGCGTAGCTCTGTGCTGCCTTAATCAGGAACACAGTGCTTCTGGACACACGTCAGGTGCAGTGGGCGAGGCCACACAATCGGGGTGCTGGTGTCTGAGGGTCTGAACCCCGTGTGACCTTGACAGCTCTCGTAGGAGTGCTACAGCGTAGAGCAGGTTCAAGGGGAGGAGCCGGGTGGTGGCTCGGAGGGGCAGGCCAGATCCTCGAGAGGTCTGGGGGTCACAGTCCTGCCCAGGTGAGCAGACTTGGTGGGAGGGGTGTGGTGAGGGTGGGGGTGGTGGTGAGTGAGCATCCTCTGCCAGAGCACAGCCTCAGCCAAACTCAGAAAGGCCAGCCGAGACAACTGTCCGCTCAGTGCGCCCTTGAGCGCGGGCCGTGTACCAGCACTGTGCTGGGCAGGGCTGGCCGTCAGTCCCCACCCCCAGACATTTCCAGTCCAGTGGAGGGGAGGCTGCGGGCCACGGACAGAGACATCAGACACTCCCGTGGGCACAGGGCCACAGAGCACAGAGCAGGTCCACTCCGCCCACACGGGGGCCGCGGGGAGCCTTCCTGAAGGAGGTGACATGTGCACTGATGTTTTGCGAGGCAAGGAGCTAGGATAAGACAAACAAAAACCCCAAACAGCAGAGGTTAACTAGGTCGGAGCGTCCGGTGTGTGATTTATCTGAGTGACACTCTTTGGGGGAAAAGCAGAGGCACAGCCAGGGTGACGATCTTGTGAAGACTGCGAGCTGGCTCTGGGCCCCCTCCGAATCGTCCCCAGGGGGCCCTGGGAGCCACTGCTGAGGGTGCTGGTTCCACCATCGCATTGTTCCGTCCACGGGCAACTGCGAACCGGCAGCTTCGAAGACCAGTGGGGGTAGGACTTGTGGATGTGAAATGGTGCTATTGTACAGCCCGGGGTCTGTGTTCGGGCTCCACCCCCTCTCGCTGTTGGTTCTCTCTGAACCGTGTTTCCTAATCTAAAGAGCAATGCCGGATGATAGCACTGTTCTGGCAACTGAAGAACGTAAGGCAAGACCTTAGCGTGGTGCCCGCCATGTCTTAGCCTCAAGAAGGTTATTATTTTCGTTAGTTATTCAGCATCGAGTTTTCCTTCCAGCTGGAGGAGGCTACTAGGCGTGTGCAGACCCTCTGAGGGAAGCTTGTGGCAGCTCACCTGGTTTCATTGTCATGACAGCAGCATGAAGCGGGGCTTTCATTATCCCCATTTTATAAAGGAGGCTCCCGAGGCTTAGGTCTGCTCAGACCCCATGACCAAGAGTGCTGAAATAGACCCTCACGTACGTGGCCCAATGATCTTCAACAGGAAGCCAAGGCCACTCGGTGGGAAAAGACAGTGTCTTCAACACGTGGTGCTGGGGAATGCGCCATCCACATGCGAAAGAGTAAAGCTGGTCCCTTGACCTGGCACCATAGAGCAAAATAAACCCAAAATGGATCATGGGCCTAACTGTGAGACCTAAAATGATAAAACTCCTAGAAGAAAGCAGAGAGGACATCTCCATGACACGGGGGTTGGCAATGACTTCTTGGACATGACACCAAAGGCAGCAAAAGCGAAACCAGACAATGGGACCACATCAGCCGCAAAGACTTCTGTGTGTCCAAGGACATCACCAACGAAGGGAAGAGGCAAACCACGAAAAGAGAAAATAACGCAGATCATCTACCCGATGAGGAGTCATTATCCAGAATAAACAAAGAACCCCTCCCCCTCACCACCACCACCAACAAAAGAAGCAACCTTATTAGAAAATGGGCAAAGAACACGCATTTCCCCCAACGTCACACACGCCTGGTCAACAAGCACATGAACAAAAGGCTTAGCATTCCTAATCGAGACGACAGAACTGAGAGCCACTTACTCCGGGGGCCTCGTCGCGTGGCCATGCTCAGAAGGTGGGTGTCAGGCTCGGGGTCCCCCTGCGCCGCCTCCTGCTGGCTGCCAGGGTGGGGCTTTCCGGACCCCATCTCCTCAGGACCCGCAGTCCGCAGCTGTGGACAGAGGGCAGAGGCTGTGACTCGCAGGCTTCGGTGGACACAGATCCTCCAGCACGTGGTGGGTCATTCAAACAGGGACCAGACCTTAAAGTGTTCGCATCTAGAAAACCACAGTCCCTGGCGTCTGTGTCACGGTGGCGACCTCAGGGAAGTGTTGCCGACTCTCTGAGAGGTGCCTCAGGAAATCACCACGGCTTTCCAAAACCAAGGGAGTCTTTACATTTCTGGGTGTACTACACAGAGCCCTGCAGAAATGCAGACGGAAAGGGAAGCAGGGAAGTCACGAACCCAACTTCAAATCATTTGGGAACAGCTGCTCAGTGTCCCTGGATCATCCAGGGCAAAGAACAGCCTCCGGCTTCGAACCCAGACTCTCGGAGGAGGGTGGGCAGGTGGGCTCCAGCGGCAGTGATGGCCTTGAAGGTCAGACAGAGCCTTGCCTCGGACTCGGATCCACCGTGGGACCTGGGAGGACCTCCGTCCCTCCTCACGTGCCAGGGAAGGGAAATGAAAACTCTGCGAGATGTTGCTCTGTATCCGTCACTGTGCAAAGCACAGATTCTGAAAAATAAATGGCCTGGAGGAACCTGAGACATCTACTTAAAGAAAAAAAATCCCAGTGGTCCTGCAGTGTCACCGGGGTTAGGAAACAGTACGCTAGATCTCTGCAGCGCCCCCAAAGACTGCTGTGTTGTCCGAGACTGGCTCTTGAGCCTGTTAAATGAATGCGGTGATGCCCAGGGAGTGTGATGCCTGACATTGGCTCCATCTCTCACCCCGCAGCCCTGGTCACCTCTGCTCACCCTGCCTGTGGCCCTCGATCTAAGGACCTGCATTTCTTCTGTCTGCCCTGGGCCATTGCTGCCGCCGCCGTGGGTTCCCCTGCCCCTGGCTGCAGAGTTGCCACTCACCCCGCAGGAAGGGGTTAAAGATCCCTGAGTGGCCGGAGGACCAGCCACGTGGCTGGGCAGCACCTCCCATTCCCTGGGCGGCTCCGTCTCAGCCACAGAAGCAGGAGGCTGTTTCCTTGCTCAGCGCATCCCAGCTGAAGCTGCTGGGGAGAGGGGAGCTGAGGGGAGGGTTCCTGCCCAGCCTTGGGCTCTGGGGTGCCCTCCTGTGCCCCTCCTCCCCTGCCACCCTTCTGCAGGCCCCATCACAGGGCTGCTGGCTCAAAATGGCGCTCCGTGCCCTCCCGCCCCAGCTGGCACTTGAGTATTCCAAACAAAGCGTCCCTCCACGGGGCCAGGACTCTGACCCGGGGTCTGTTTACCTGCAGCCGCGGACCTTGCTCGGGTGCTCCCCGCTCAGGAGGGGCACTCCCGCGGAGAGGAGGGCGGGAGGGACAAGAGGCTGGACTGGGCCTCCCGCTCGGACTGAAGAGGAATTCCGCTGGGAATTGGAGAGGGTGGGGGGTTCCCCAGATTTGTAATCCTGCACTGCCATCTATCGCCGGTCTTAGCTCACGGCCTTTGGCGACAACCCTAGGCCGGGCTCTTTCAATCAGGTCTAGACTTCTCTCCCAAGGGGATGGGGGGACCTGAGGGGCGGGGCGGGGGTGTTCCAGTGCTGCTTGGGGTGTCACTGTGAGTGTCCTGTGCCCCACCCAGCACAGCCCTGCGCCTCCCGGAGAAGAACCTGTGACCTCTGTGACAGCAGGTGGCTTTTAACCCACAGCCCAGCAGGCAGACCTGCTGCCCGGCACCCCCTACCTCTTTCTTCCTCTTCTGTCGCTGGGCCTTTGAAGACTTCTTTCTTCCCGCATCTGCATCCTCACCATTTCCAACGACCTCCTTTGTTAAAAAGCAAATGGAAGGTTTGTCACTTGGTGGGTGTGTGCACGTTGGGGAAGAATCCCTAAGAGAAACAAGGGTGTGATGTTTAGGCATTAAAATGAAAATCACCACCTTGTCCCGGGGACCTCCGTCCACTACAGCGGAGTGTGAGCGGACAGAAAAGACTGGACGTGACCTGCTCTTGTACTCTTCTCAAAACGATGCGTCCTTGAAAAGCCGTATCCAGACGGCAGCATTGTAAATGAGATGCTGGAGTTTCCAGTGTCCCGGGGGGCTCCTTCTTGAAAAGGACATTTATTGAGCATTTACTGTGTCCTGGAGGCACAGAAATACTCCCTGCCCTCAAGAGTCACAATCTAAAGAAAGCGACTCACAGGTGAATCTGCCAGGGCAGGTGTTCTGGTCCCGATGGAGGACCCAACACAGGCTGACTCAGAACCACACTCAGGGCTTCTCTGATCCCCAGTTTTACTATCACGTAGAGAATAACGAAGATACATATTAAATCATCATGGAAGTTTTGATTTAAAAAAAAACAAACTTAGCAGATCTTTTTGAAAAGGGGGAAGTCCTTTAACCGTGCAAACTTTGTTTCCTTTTTCCATATTACATTTTCTAAAGTGTTGTTCATCAATTGCTAGAGCCGAATGCTCTCAAATGTCAGCCTTTCAACTTTTCTAGTCATCAAGTTTTCCAACTGGGATGCAAGCACCTCTGGGTGTGAAAGTAATTGCAAGATAAAGCCAGAACATCTGTCTGGTACACCAAATTTATTAGCATTTTCCTCTAAGACTGGGAATTTAAAATTTTTATACAGAGACAAACTCAGAATGCAAAGCATGGATTTTAATGATAGAGGAGTTCAAAGGAATGTCATGCTGGTTGTTGGGCTGGGTTCCAATGACACATCAGTGCCCTTGGCTGTCTGGATCACAGAGGGCATGACCTTGAGTTACAGAGGAGGTCAAGAGGTCCCAGCCAGGGAATGGGGGTGGCGTGGGCTTTTCCTGGGTCCACAGGACTGATGTCCCTTCTCTGACTCAGCCTCTGAGTAGAAACCTGACCTCGTCCTTCAGGTGCCCCCCAGGTACAAATTGCTCTTAGCTCGGAAATTCACCAACTTAGATTAGATGCACAATGTTGATATTGTTGAGGTGTGCAAGTATGGTTCTTAGGTCAAGTCTGAGTTCTTACTGGCTTAGAATGGACTTATGAGAAATCTACATTCTTGTTGGCTTTTTAATAATGATTTGATCCTTCGTCTGAAAGGGGTGAGAGAAAATAATAGAACAACACAGCACTAATCATGGAGAGGTGCTAGCCGTAGTTATAGGAAATGTTGAACATCCTTGCTCTGCTAATCATGATTCCTTTGTTCTGATGAAAGAACACCCACCCTGACTTGGCTGGGAAAGACGGAAAGACTAACCACCTAGGCGTCGGTGCTCTGGGGACAGCCCACATCCCCAGCTCCTCTTACTTCCCCACGCTTGCGATCTGTAACCATTTCACCCACAGATATTCCCTTTGCCTGCCCTATAACCCCCCGTGCAAGTGACTGCCGGCTATGGAGGAAGTGCAGAGCAGATTTTTGCAGGATGACCTGGCTTCTCTCCCATACTGCCCGCAATATTGGAATAAACACTCATATACAACCCAACCTCGTCTCTGCTTAATTGGCAAACAGTGACAGGCAGTCCTGACCCTCTGTTGTCCGGTTTCACATCAACAAAGAGCTATTCAGTTGGACTTCAGATGAGACAGAATGTAAACTCCATGAGGGCAGAGGGTTTATTCACTGCTGTAACCCCCGGGACCAGAGGAACTACAGATATTTTTTGTGTGGACGAACAAGCAAATGTAGCACCATGTGGTTTATCTGGGTAATGCGTTCCTTCAGGATTTTTTAAATGCTCTTGGAAACAGCATCTTGTCTCCATTTCTGCCTCTGCGGTCTCCAGTCAGTGAGCCCTGGAGCCAGGAGCGAAGCAAAGATCGGGAGGAATAATCTGTCCTGTTTGGAGGTCTGCAGTCTCCAAATTGGAGACAGCTTTCCTTCTGTTCCAGGGGTTTAACGAGGCTTGTACACCATGAGTTCGACACCGCAGGGCTCCACAAGACTGAGGGTTTGACTCGTGGTTATAAGTGGTGGTTGCTACCTTCACTGTGAATTTCTTCAGAAATCTTTGTGCTTCAGCCGAGCTGGACCCAACAGCAGGTGGTACCTTAGAACTGCCGTGTGTCAGAGTTCAGAACACGGTGACAAGTACAGGTCACTCCTGGCGCACCTGCACCTGCATTTCCTGCAACGCCCACCCCCTTCCCCCCCACGCGCCTGGCCCGGCACCCCCTGCCTGCAGTGGCCGAGCCTCCTCACCCACGAACACGTGTGCGTGCGCTGCCCTCGGGGTGTCTCAGCAACCACTCACCTCTGTAACCATTTTCATTGTTTCTTCCTTGGGATCCATTCCGGCTGTGACGGCTCCTCCCTGACTGGCAAAGAACAAAGGTGTCAGGCCTTTGGACATCGGTGGAACACCTGCCTTGCTTTTGATAAATAGGAAGCTGACCTCCATGGTTAGAGAAGTGCTTGCAGAGCCAAGACTGGTGGGAATGAGCCCTTGGGAACGGGCAGGACGTCAGACCCTTTGTCCCCATTAGCCTGGCGAGGAGCCTGGTTTGACGGCGCAGCAGGTGGGAGCCAGGAAGGAGCTGTGCCCGAGGGGTCAGAAGACCCAGTTGGAATCCAGCTCCGGGAGGATGTTTCATAGCTTATTCTCTCCCCTCCAACCTCCACCTTCTCACTCTTCCTGTCCACCCTTGACCTCGGCTCTCTTCACCGAGAGATGGTTTCCACATCTCCCTCCCCTTCCCCCTGAATCATGTCACCTCCTCTGCTTCCACTTGCTGCTGTGACCTGCCCCTCTTACCTCCGGGCCAGGGCCTCTGCCTTGCACTGGGCCCATGCCCTTCCCCTCTCCGGACCGTGATCAGGACACGCTCTCCCACTCACCCGGATAACCATGTCTCCCTGCTCTACTGGCTCCTCACCACGTGTCCAAAGTGCTCTCTGGTCGTAGGTCAGCTCTTCTCTGCAGGGGAACTCAGACCTCCCTTTCCAGCTGGTTCTTAGAGCTCAGCACTCCCGCAGCTGCCCCGCCAGGGTCTCCAGTGACGCGCACGCCGTCACATCTCCTGGTCAGTCCTCAGTCCTCGTCTCGTTTGACCTGACAGAGCCATTTAGCAATGACAGGGACCCATCACTTTTTTTTTCTTCCTTGAAATCTTTCTTCACTTGGTATCTGGGACGTGTTCTTTCCTGGTTTCCTTCTACCCACCGGCTGCTGCTTCTCCAACGCCTGGGGCCTGGGCTCGTTTCTCCTCATGTCCTCATGGCCGGACCACCCAGGGGTGTGCCCTGGGCTCCGTCTTGCCTCTGTGCCCCCCGTCCCCCGGCAAAGTCCTCTTGTTGCTTGGCTGGAAATACCATCTACCTACTGATATTCTCCAAGTCTACAACCTGGGCCCGCACGTCTCCCCAGAACTCCAGACTCAACTGTCCGAGTGCTAGGTGGATATTGGCTTCACCTGCTCCAGGGGAAGCTCCCTGTCCTGGCCCCCCGCCTGTGTGTCCTGCAACCTTCCTGGTTGATGAACAGAACTCCGCTTCCTCAGGCTGAAGCCCTGGAGTCATCCCTGGTTCCACTCTGACGCCCACACGACACACCACATCCCACCCGTGGGAAGTCCTGCCAGCTGTGCCTCCAAGTTACACGGGGAACTCAGCGCCCTCGACGTACCTCCACTGTGACCGTTCGGGTGAGCCCGCGGCCTCTCCTGTGGCCTCGAGCAAGAACCTCCCAGCTTCTCGGATCCCCACCTTCCTTACCCACAGTCTGGTCTCTACACTGAACCCAGAGTAAATGGTCTAAACTGTAGGCGAGAGCATGTCGTTCCTCCACACAAAATCCCCCCAACGCTTCCTTTTCTCAACAGGGGAAAATCCAAAATTCTTCCAATGGCCTGCAAGGCCCCACCTGCTCTGTGCTTGACCCCTCTGGCTCAGGGCCGTGGCGCTTGCTGTCCGCTCCGCACCGGACGCTCTTTCCCACGACCCCGAGGTGGGCCTCTCTCTACTCCTTCAGGACTCTGCTCAGGTTTGATTTCATCGGGGAGGCCTTCCCTGAACACTCACAATTCTACGATAACCTTCCGCCCTCCCCTCCTGAAACTCGCTAACTACCTCACAAGTGATTTATTTTTCCATTTCACTTATCGCCTGTCGACATACGTATCTATTCATATTTCTTTGTGATTGTCTGCCCATTCCCTTAGAAGGTAGGCTACAAGAGGACAGGTACATTGTTCATTTTTCACCCCAAGCCTCGGACTAGGGCACACAGTAGACTCTCAATAACTGCTTTTCAAGTGCATGACCAGATCACCATTGGCTGCACGTCTGTGAGCCTGAGTGACACCTGGGGAACGTCAGGGCTGACAAACCCTAGGCCTCCCGGACGCCCCTGGGTCATTGAAGCAGCTCATCTAAGGTGTTCATGGTGTCACAGACCCTAATGGGGAACATGTGAAGAGGAAATAAAGCACCTGAAATTCTATTGTCTCCCATCCAGACATCCTCACAGGCTGCAAGAAATAGAGGAAGGGACATGACGAAAGCAGCTAAGAAAACAAAAGAGCGAGGAGGTTATCGACTGAGCACAAGGGGACAGATAATAAAAATGGAATGCCAAGCGACACAAAAGCGCTCTAATGAGCAACTCTGGCAATTATAAACCTGATAAGAAGAACTGTGAAATAGTTTAGTAAGTAAAAAAAAGATCCTTAATACATTAAAAAATGTGATGTGGGAAAGAAAGAAATAGAAAATGAAAAATGTAATGGGGTTGTTTTTTTCTTTTTTTCTCCTTCTCATTCTTTCCTGATCATTACCTTTGAATGAGTTTCTAAGGAAATCAAATGACATTAAAATTAATTTTTTTTACAAGCACTCTTCCTAAGAAAAGATGAATCAATACTGTCCAACTTGAATAGGCAGCTCGTCAGCCTGGGCACAGATGCTTGCTAATACGTTTTTATTGGCAATATCAAAATAAGAGCCTGCGGGCCTGTTTTGTGCTTTCTCTGGGTACATGTTACCACTTGGTCTCACAGCAACGCTCCGGCTCTGTAGTACCTGCCTCAATTTATATGTAAGGAAGTCGAGGTTCTTCTCTGACGTGAGCCTCTGACAGGTTACGTGACTTGCCCAAGATTACAGTTATTAAGTGTCACTTCAAGATTTGATCCCAGACCCCTCGAGAGCCCTCCCCCGTGCTCCTCTCCATCTCTGTCTGTCGCACCATCTAGTCTCGTGGTTTTATTTCAGTGATATCGGTGACTGTTCTGCTAGCCCACGAGTCTGGAAATATTTACAGTTGGAACCCGGGAGCGTTGCCTCAGTGAGAAAGGCTTTGGCTCTGTTAGTTAATGATTTACTTAACCCAGTGCAGACCACCAAACACAGTTTTGAAGCAAAGTGCTGATGCCTTCATCTAGACAAATGGACTATCCCTGAGGGTCTTCCAAGGACCCCATGGCACATGCGACAGGCTGGAGGGAGGAAGGTCTGAAAGAGGGCAGAAGTCTGCATCTCAACCTTGGCTGCCTAAAAAACCACACAGGGTGTGCACCTTACTCCAGAACAGTGGACACCTGGGTCCATCGAGAGAGCGAGGGCTTTGTAAACACGTTTAGGGGCCTGGGTTCGAATCCCAGCTCTATCACCAGCTGTGTACTCCTGGAGCGATGTCTTCACCTCCCTGAGATCCTTTTCTGTCTGGAACGTGTGATCATAACTCCTCCCTCAGTGGGTGGTTATTCTATAAGGGTTCAAGGGCAGCGTGTGCGCAGTGGAGAGCCCATCACACCCGGTGGCTTCCCATCCTTTCCCATTGGCGGTACTTCTGATGCCTTCCGGCCTCACACACAGGAGCATCTCCTCCCTGAGCACAGCACTTACCTCTCCTGTCCCATCTGTCAGGGCTGCGGCCTGGAGCCCTGCCGGGTCCCTCATGCACCCTTGCGATCACTACCTAATTCTCCGAGTTGTTCCAGCCATGGCTTCTCGTGGTATAAGGCTGGTGACAAATGGCTTTCGAGAATCATTTAATCAGCTTGCTATAGCATATGTCGCCAAAGAGTGCCTATACATATCTGAGCTGTGCCGTGTGATCTGTGCCCCGTGCACCGGCGTGGTGAGCTGAGGCCCCAGGCCCTCCCGGGGTGGTCCCGCCGGGCTCTGAGCATTTGGCCCCTTTTACAAATCTCTCGGCCCTCAGTTCATTGCACCATTATCTGTTTACAGGGCCGCCTTCCTAGTAAACCCTGCACTTCTGGCCGGGCCTGCTGCATTTTTGCACGCTTCGACTCCAGCACACTGCCTGTTGCCTGGTTCATGCTCAGTGAATGTGTGAGTGGAGGACTCTGCAAATGGGCTCCAGGAGACATCCAGAGACTCCATTCTGGGGCTGAGTTTATTTGCAGGAGTTCTAGGAAAATGTAATAACATACTCATTAGACTTTATTAGCTTTCCATGGCACCTCTTTGCAGTAGATGGAAGCAATCAGTTTCAATCACAGCTGGCAGATTTCCTGTGTTTGGTGGGGAGAGCGGTGATCCTCAGCCCTTTCTCTGCCACGGCCCTTTCTCCTGTCTAATGCCAAGGAAAGGGAAGCTTGCGATCGTGACTACTTAGCCCTTTGAACCAATCTGAGCCGAAAGGCCCAGCAATGCAGCGTGCAGCCCATGTTGCAGGGGCCGGGATGCCACAGGCTGGCTGGGAAGTCCCAGGAAGGAGGAGAGCGACGTCCCGGAGGAGCTCACCCAGGGGCTGTGATGGGCTGAGCACGTCCCTGAAACCAGACTCCAGGCAGCTGCTGTCATCCGACAGCCCCGTCCTGCTCCGCATCCACGGCAGGGAGCAGAGGTGGGAGCTGCCAGCACACCTCACTGGACCGTCCGGGACCTGCTCCGGGTCGGGGCGAGGCTGCACGCCCAGGCAGGGAGGGGCAGCTGGGCCCTGCTGCAGCCCCGCCGGAGGACCCGATTTACCTTGAGGAGCTCCGCAAAGGCACCCGGCTGCTCCGTGCTCCGGGGTGAAGAGGCAGTGGAGAGACCCGTCGCACCGTGGAAACTTCCAAGAGTGGGAAGGAAAAGGCCGGGTGTGGGCGGGCCCAGGGCCGCTCCCTGCAAAGCTGCAGCCAGCCTCCAGCAAAACACCCACTTAGCAACCCGTTCGTTCCTAAGGAAGGCCGCTCGGCGGCTTTTTTTCCTTTTAAAGGGACACGTTATTCCCTGTGCGGAACACACACACACACACACACACACACACACACACACACGGGCAGGAGCACAGCTGCAGGACAGGACAAAGGGGATCAGCCGGGCGGCGGGCAGAACTGGGTCAAGCTTTAGAGCTGCGGGCCCTCAGGTCACGGGGTCACAGGGCCTTTCTGGTAAAAGACAGGCCATGCTCGGAGGCAGACGGTTTGAAACTAGAGCAGGTCATCATTTCAGGGGGGGAGGATGTCTGCTCTGTAGCAAAGGCTCCCTAGAGGTGCTGCTCTGGAGGACTTTCCAGGTGAATGTGGGAGACTGAGTGTACAACACGAATCTCCTTGTTCTCTGAATCCCGCCGAAACGACTGAGCGAGCATATACACGTTATGGCTCCAAAAGCAGAGAGGACGAGAACAGAAGAAAGCAGATGGAAGAATATGGAATGAACAGACCAAAGAAAGCCACACACCAAGTGTACGTGTGTGTGTGTGTGTTAGTGTCTATGTCTGTGTGTTTGCGTGTTTATGTCAGTTTCTGTGTCTATGTCGATGTGTGTCTGTGTATCTCTGCATGTGTGCATGTATACACGTGTCTCTGTGTGTGTGTGTATGTTTGAGTGTATCTATGTATCTGTGTCTGTGTGTCTTTCTATGTATATGTGTATACGTGTGTGTTCATGTCTATGTGTTTCTGTGTATCTGTGTCTCTGCATGTGTATTTCTCTGTGTGTTCATGTATGTATACGTGTCTGTGCGGAGGCCAGGCAGGTACACGTCTGAGGGAAGAGCTGACTGCTCTGCAGAATCCAGACAGGCTCAGGATGTGGCTCAGCAGGGTGGTGGCTGCCTGTGTCCCTCTCAAGAATATGTGCTGGAGTCCTAACCCCAGCCCCTCAAAATGTCACCTTATTTAGAGATGGAGTCGTGACAGGGGGAATCAATTTAAGATGAGGTCATTAGACTGGGCCCTAAGCCAATATGACGGTGTTCTTATAACAGAGGGGTTTGCGCAGGAGACACACCACACCGAGGGAGGACGGCGGGAAGACACTGGGCAGAGCACCTGCAGGTCAAGGAACCCTGAGGCCCCGGAAGCTGGAGGGAGGCACGGAGCCGAGTGTCCCTCGCTGTCCCCAGAAGGAACCACCTACCAGTGCCTGATTTCTCACTTCTAGTCCCCAGAATTGTGAGCCAGTCAGGTTCTGCTGCTTTAAGCACAAGGTGTATGTATGGTGTTTTGTTAGAGTAGCCCCAGGAATCTAACAGTCAGATGCCAAGGAGAGTGGGGAGCGATGGGCTGAGAAGCAAGAAGGTTTGAAAGTCTACTTACAGAGGCGCGAACCCTGGCAGCCTGGGAATAACGCCCATTCTCCCCACTCCTCTTCTTCTGCCGATCGGAGGAGATTGGAGGCTTCTCAGGAAGCTGAAGACAGACACTGCTCTCAAGTTCCCAGGCACGGCAGAGGGTAGATGCGCTCTCTTCACAGAACTGAGGTGCACAAAATATACCTTTGATCCCTGTCCCACCTGCACCACCATCAAACTGGAACACATGAAATGTATTTTCTGGAGAAACTGAATGGTTACAAAGAACAGATCCCAGGTATTGACATTTCTGGATCCTCCCATGAGAGAAACTAGCGGAGCACCCTTAGCCACAAGCATTGCAGAGAAAATGAGAGGGTCTTGGGTTAGGAAATCCCACACTTGCCCAGCCAGTGTGGCTCAGTGCATTGAGCGTCACCCCATGGAGTGAGAGGTCCCGGTTCGATTCCCAGTCAGGGCACATGCCTGGATTGCAGGCTTGATCCCCAGGAGGGGGCGTGCTGGAGGCAGCCGATTGATGTACCTCTCTCACATTGATATTTCTATCTCTCTTTAGCTTCCTTTCTATCTAAAAAAATCAATTAAAAATATATAAATATAAAATAAATTCCACAGTTGTAGATATAGAGAGAACCAAAAAATGAAAAGGTAGACTTTATCAAAGAGGTAATATAAGAAAACCTCTCAGAAGTGAAAGAAGAGGTCTTTGGATTGGGAGCAGACACAAGGAGACAAAAACCACACTTGTCTGTGTCAGTCTGTGCTCCACAGGTGGTGAGAAAACATTCTCCCAGGAATTCATAACCACTGGCTTACACTATGCTGCCTAACGGTCCTATTTTATGCTCCTTGCACCTTTTAGAAATTCCCTATGTGACACATTTTAAAAAGTGGACTCAAGCTACTGTATCCCTATGGGGTGCTGGGCAAGAACAGACAAAACATTTCTGGAGAGACAGACCCACCTTCAAGTCGTCAGTTCAGGATGACGGCAGATGACCCTTGCGGAAGATGAGCTCACAGTCCAAAATTAGACAGCATGGGAGGAAACAGTCAGATCTTTAGGCCACCAGAGGGCACTGTTAGGTACCGAGAACTTCTGACAATACAACCATCAAAGAGAGAATATAACAAAAACAAGAGCCGTAAAAGAACTTGAAAGGAGGCTTTGAAAATATGAAAGAAGAGCGCTCTATGCCATCAGAAAGATCGGGCAAATGTGAAGAAGAACCAGCTAGAGCTTTTAGAACTGAATAATAAAGTTATGATTTTTTTTTATTTGAAGCAAAGCATGGGTTAGATTTCTGAGCTGGAAATAGAATTAATGTTGTAAAGAAGAGATTAGAAACAAAAATGTGGCAAGAAGAGATGGAGAATGGGAAAGAATAGATGAAGTTCCTGGGGGAGAGACTGAGGAGTCTGTGGGGTCCCAGGAGAAGAAAGCAGATGATCTTGGCAACTTCCTTAACTTCCCTAGGTTTCCATCTCTCTTCTGTAAAATGAGATTAACGATAGTAACCACTGCAGAGAGCTGTTATGAGGTTCATTAAGTGAATGTTGATCAAGTCCTGGCAGACAGCAAATGCTGTGAGGTTTATTAAATTAAAAAACAAAACAAAACAAGGTGAGCCTGGCCGGTGTGTTCACTGGATTGAACGTTGTCCTGTGGACTGAGAGGTTGGGTTCGATTCCTGGTCAAGGCACATGCCCGGTCAAGGCAATCCGCAGTAGAAGGCGTGCAGGAGGCAGCCGATAGACGTTTCTCTCTCACACGGATGTTTCCATCTCTTTCCATGGATGCTGTGTTCACTCAGACAGTTTTGATGAAACACTGTAGACTGGGTGGTTTAAACAATAGAAATTGCTTTTCTGACAGTTCTGGAGGCTGGAAATCCAAGGTCAAAGTGCCAGTCGATTCACGGTGCCCGGTGAGGGCTCGCTTCCTGGCTTGTAGATGGTCATCACCTGGCTGTACCCTCACACGGCCTTTGCTTGACGCACTAGACAGGGAGAGAGGACTCTCTCTTCCTATTGGACATCCGCAACTGCATTAGGACTCAACGCTTACGACCTCATTTAACCTTAATTACCTCCTAAAATCCCTGTCTCCAAATACAGTGACATCGAGGGTTAGGGCAGCAGCTTGTGAGTTTGCGGGGTTGGGGGGTGGGGGTGGCACCCAGTTCAGTCTGTAGCAGATGTTTGTTGTAAGAGATCATTCACTTGAAGTGATCAACTGTCATAAGAGGTAGAATTTGTTCACTGCGCTTATGCTAATTAACCCTCTGCATTTCTCCTTTATCTTTTAACATTTAACTAAACCAAACCTAAGAATCATGCATCTCCTCATAATGTTCTGAAATTATTAAAAAGTGTTGTTCAAAATCATCCTTTCTTGCAAAAACTTCTTATGCCAGCAAAATAAATGAATTTAGCATATTTGTTTTAAATCAAAATGCAAAATCTTCATTCTTATAGGTTAAGTGTTCCTCACTGGTTAAAGAGTTTATAATCAAGAACCAGTGTTAAATCACACATCGAAAGCTTTTTTCCTGCATCTTTTGAGGTAATCAAATATAATTTTTTTTTTTTTCATCTTTGCTTGATGCATTCAGATGGTGAATTACATGAACAGGCTTTTTGATGGCAAACTTTTTTTGCATTTCTGGAATATACTAACCTTGGTCAAAATATTCAAAAAATAATCATTGGACTTAGTTATTAATATTTAGATGTTTGCCTTTATGTTCACAACTGAGATGGTACTATTGTCCTTTCCCTTCTTGTGTTGCTCTTCTTGTTTTAGAATGAAGGATATTTCTCATCTCAAAAAGCAGACTAATTAATCTCTCTCTCTTCTCTTTCCCCCTCTCTCTCTGTCTGTTTCTCTCTCTCTCTCTGTCTCTCTCTCTCTCTCCCTCTCTCTCTCCCACTCATACACATTATCTGTTCTGTGAACTTGTCTATAAAACTGTTTGGATCTGGTGAGGTTTTTTTTAAATTGTGGTGAAAAATATATATAACATTAAACTTACTATTTTAGCCATTTTACTCACCTTTTTTCAGATATAATCAACACATAACATTGAATCCGTTTTAGGTGTACAACATAGTGATTTAATATATGTACATGTTGCAAAATGATTACCACAGTAAGTTTACTTAACATCTGTCCCCTCACCTAGTTACACATTATTACTATTTTTTTGTGCTGAGAACATTTAAGATCTACTCTCTTAGCAACTCTCAAATGTATAGTTTAGCCGTTTTCGATGGTACATTCACAGTACTGTATGATCACTACCTATTTCCATAACTTTCTCATCACCCTAGAGAGGAACTCTGTACCCATTAAACATCAACTCTGTCTCCCTCTGGGCACCCAGCCCCGCTCCTAGCAACCCCCGCTCCAATGCCCATAGCTATAAATGTGCTTATTCTAGTTATTTCGTGTAAGTGAAATTTAATTTCTGTCTCTCTAAATTTGCTTATTTCCAATTTCTGTCTCTCTAAATTTGCTTATTCTAGTTATTTCATGTAAGTGGAATTACACAATATGCGTCCCTTTCTGTTTGTCTTCATTCACTTACCATA